TTCAAAGTGGTATTAGAACCCTGAGTATTATAGTGCCATCTTTATCCATTGTGAATTCAGTGAGTAAACCAGTGACTTTTTCTCAATAAGAAAATATTAATTAATATGATTCTTCATAAGATGTGTTCGGGATACTTTCGCGGGAAAGACGTTTTCGATCCAGAAGTGGTCAATGTACGATATGATATGCCATCCGCTGTACAAGTCGTGCTTGGTTGTGAGGATGGGAATATATACATAATGGAAGATTATATGGTTTGTAGTGGTTGAATTATTACTTTGACATGTTTACTCCAAGCATTCAAATCATGGCTTTTTCCTTCTCCCGTTATGAAAAGATACATAATATGTTGAAAATAGACAATCCAATTACGGATGTCAAAAGATTCAGACCACATGATTTGGAAAGCACTGAAACAGACTTTTTAGTTTGCATTGGACATTTTAATGAAGTCCGAATCTTTAAAGATTGCGAGGTATGTGTCATTAATATATTTTGTAATATCAGATGTAATTTGAATTATTATTAACGTTGCAATTCCCTTTAAAACTTAAAATACAACAGCTTTTCCGTTCCATCATAACAGACGATTTAGTCTCTACTATTGATATTGGTGATACTAATAATGATGGTCGTCCTGAGCTAATAATTGGAATGTTGAATAATACAATAGAGGTTTATGGCTACGATGATGATGAGGATGGTAACAAACCATCAATGAGATGATAAAATTTAATTTAAATTTAATTTAATTGATTTTTTATTTATTTATGTTTCCCGGAATAAAAAAAAATAATGTATAATATATTATAATTTATTCATTCAAAGTAAAATAAATTCAGCATCACGATTGTTCAATTATCCCGGTTTCTTGATATTTCTTTAATACGTTTTCTAATTTGTCTTCTTTGATCCAATGCTGAAATAGGAACTGATTGTTCATGTGCAAAACTGGGATGTCGTACTTATACTGCTCTAACCATTTTCTGTTACCGGGTTCATATATATCTTTTTGCTCCAAG